GTATTTCTATACAAGTTTTGCTCGTCAGAAAACGAGACTCAGCCTTCATTCTCGATTGGTATAAAGTACGATGAGCTTTGGAACAAGAACTCTTTTCTCTCGACACATATGCACTTTTTACATTCTCGATTGGTATAAAGTACGATGAGCTTTGGAACAAGAACTCTTTTCTCTCGACACATATGCACTTTTTGATACTTCGACAGATAAGCTTTCTAAAAAATCACACGGGTTGATATACTAATGTATCCTTTTGTTTTAGCACTATAAAGTCTCCACAACCAAAATTATGCCTTCACAAGGTGTTACATGCAGGTGTACAGATTTAAAATGTTACTAAATGAATATCAATCACTACAATTCTGTACAAGAACAATCGAATCCAATTACACGCGTATTAGAAAGCCTACAAACCAACATTTAAAGTAAAAAATGTACTAGAAAATGCTTCTGTTAACAGAGAACACTGAACAAGGTGTTGCTAGAGCTGGAATGCTCAAATTCTGCAAAGGTTAGTGTGTTAGTTTTAGATTGATGGCTCAAGGCCTATGATAGCAGTGGCAGCAATAATACAATTTTGTCTGAAGGACTATTATATTTGGTTTGTGTTTTAAGTTTCTAGCGTATTTATTTGTAATGCTTTTTAGGTATTGGTGATAAAAACAAATAAATTAAAAATAAATAAATAACTAGAACTAAAGACTGATAACACTTCAAAATAAGGCAACAAACGTTCTCCTCAAAATATACATAACACTACACAAGCTTCGGTTCTAATCGCCTCAAATGGACAACAAATCCCCCCCCAAAAAAATGTCCTTTTTATTACTATTAACCAACCAAAGCTCCACATTCTATTATACAAAGAAAATCTGGCCAACATTCAACAAGCTCTCGTGAGGCACATTGAATATGGCACTATTCTCCCTACAAATCTTCCTAAGGAACGCGTAAACGTAGTCGATCGCCACCTTCTTCCACACCCTCGACTCCCTCCGAGCCCTCACCACCGTGTTCCCCATAATGTGCACCACTCCCGCTTCCCGACACTCCCTCAAGAACTCGAGCTCGTCGCCGCCCTCCGTTCGCCCGCCGGACGACGACACCATCGTGTTCCCACTTCCACTCGCCTCGGGCACAATCGAGTCGATCGATTCGGTCGTGAGCTCGTCACCGTCCGACTCAGAATCCGAGCACCCCTCCATCATGGACTCGAGCCGGACGAACGTGAATAGATTGTCGAACAATTTCTCTTCGAAATCATCGTCCTTCTTGTGAAGATCCTTGTACCCATACCTCGCCACGCATCGGAAAATGTGGAAATTCTTCGGTCCTATTCGCTTCACGAGGTATCGTTCCTCCTCTGGAACCGTGTAAACGGGAAGGTACTTCACGCAAACGAACACCACAACGGAGTGGATGGCCGGAAGGTTCGTTATGAAGTGAGAGAAAATGTGCGGAACACCACTCGCAAGCTCGGTGTAGACTATGCCAACTCCAGGGACACGAACGAGGCCTAGGCTCGGGCCGAGGCCGAGAATCCAAGCCATGGACACTTTGCTATGCATCTCGAGCTCGTAACGCTTGACCGTGCCATAGTGCCACACGTACATGATGACTAGGAAGGCGGCGGAGATGACGAGCGGGACCCACCCGCCTTGGTCAACCTTGAAGAGCACAGCCGAGAAGTAGGTGCACTCGACCACTAGCGAGAAGAAGGTGAATAAGAGGACTAGGAGCCAGTGGCAGTGCCATACGAGCAGCATTATCAGCGTCATCAAGAGGGTCGTCACAAGCATCACGATCACGACAGCTGTACCTGCAGTCCACATAGATCAGACAACAAGGTCATGATTGGATATGAGTTAAAACTGATTTTAATTATGACTACTCAAAATCCAACTCTAACTCGAGCTTTATGTAAATATAATTAAATAATATCAATCTACCATCTTCACACATCACATCAACTTCAATTCACTATTCAGTCACATAATTTTAGCTACCTATCATTTCCAATATTTTTTCTCCTACATTTACATCACATCAACTTTAATCTAATTTCAAACTCAAAATCATCCAATCAACCTCCTTTTTTTCTAAAAAAAGGGTCAAAACTGGCTGGATTCATATCCAATCGTGCCCCAAATGTCAAATTTTTTTTTCCCTAGTATTATTATGTTGCCAAAATCAACTGTTTTAAGAAAGTACCATAGGCATTGCCGATTTGGCTTTGGTTTCTAAATCCGGCGGTTACGGCTATGCACAAAACCATGAGGATCCAGTTGATGTCCGGAATGTAAATCTGCCCGAGAAACTTCTTCGACGTATGCACAACTTTGACTCTCGGAAAACAGCCGAGGGCAAGGGCTTGCTTGATTATCGAGAAAGTGGCGGAGATTGTGGCCTGGCTAGCAACGATTGCAGCCAAAGTTGCAACGATAAAAACGGGCCAGTATACACTATCTGCAAATTCGAAAAAGTAAATAATTCTTTGCAATCAAGACAAACGAAGATTTATTTCGGTATATATTCACAAACTCGAATAAATAGACAAATTAGTACTCGGTATTGATCGGTAAAATGCATCGGCTGCATGATCTCGATTGTCCATTAGGTAAGCCGCTTGGCCGGAGTAGGCTAGAAGAAGAGAAGGAAAAACAACTACCGTAAAAGCAAGCTGTATAGAAGAAACAGGAAAATGAGCAAGATCAGCAAAAAGAGCTTCAGTCCCTGCAAATAGCAAAAACAATTTCTTTAGTTTTTTTTTTCTTTATGTGTGTGTGAGAAAAATAGAAAGGGAGAGAAAAGAGAAGACCTGTGATGCTAAGCATGATTCCTCCAAGGGACATCCATCGTTTTTTCGAGCCTCTTTTAAGGAAGCGATAAATATAAACGGGCGAAAAAGCTCTGAGAACTGAGGTATCGTATTTATAGAGGTTGAAAATGCCGATGCCTCCAATCATGAGAAACCAAAGCAGTACAATGGGAGCAAATAACCAACCGACTTTGTCCGTTCCATAGTGTTGCATACTGAATAAACCGACTAATATGAATACAGCAACAAGTACAACCACATCTGCATAAAAAAGAATTGTCATAACAAGAAACTTCATGCAACTACATTACCAAAAATGAAACAAAAAAAATGCTCTTATTATCAATATCACCATTGATACTTACCAAAAAAAAAAAAAACAATGAGAAATAATTGTTATGTCAGTAGAAGTAGAACATACCATTGCTCATCTTCGGGTGGTCCACCTTGATCCCGCCGGAAGCAGAAAGAACTGTGAAATGCATTTCGGTTTAGCTAAGTGTCAAATAGAAGCTGAAATACAAACAGATTAATATTCACATAATAATGGGTATCAAATAATTTTCCATAGTTTCGCAAGCAAGACTGTGATTTGTGAGCTTCCGAGATCATAATTAATTCTCTATCTTCTTTTCTTATCATTTGTTGAGATTAGCCGAACAATTACCGGAAATAGCCGGTGTGAGAATTCCATCGCCAATCACCATGCAAGTCCCCACAAGTACGAGTATAAGAAGAGAGTTCCTTCTCACTGCGTGTGCCTCGAGCCATCTCTTCGTTTTAGCAGCAAATGAATGCTCATGAAAAGTGCTACGGCTATAAGTCGTGAGCTCCTCATCCGTCCGGTGTTGATTAGGGATCGTTTTCACTTTCGCATGCCGGCAAAGTAATGAATAAAGAGCAAAAGTTCCTCCTAACAAAAATACAAAGTTAAAAATCTCACATTACCCACATTCATATTGAAGTCAAAACCATAATATCACAAGAATTTGCACTTCAAAGAGAACCTCACCTTGACCATTGTCGTTTGCTCTACAGACAATGAAAACATATTTGAGTAGGGGTATTAATGTCAACGAGTATATAATAAACGAAAGGGCACTAATAATATCCTCCGGCTCATCTATCCCGTGAGGAAAAGTATTGTAGAACACATACAAAGGAGAAGTTCCCAAGTCTCCGTATACCACTCCTAAACTCTGGAATGCAAGCCTCAAGAGCAAAATTGCCGAAAATTTCTGCTCGAACCGATAAATTAGTTCGTAAGTAAGAAGTAATCTTAATAATCCCACATTAAACTTTCATCACAAGTCGATTAAAAAAAAAAAAAAAACTCAATATAATATAAGTACATAAAAGTATTTGAGTTAAAGCCAGTGGAAAGCAATGGTAGGGTACATGAAAAAGTGACAATAAACAATAAAGATGACAAATATCCACCTTCTCTCTATACATATTTTTAAGTCTTCCAGCTTCTTCATCCATAGGCTGGTCAAGCTTCTGCTCCAAAGCCCACATGCCACCTTTACTTTCACTACCTTCATCGGATTCGACCCCAGACGCCATTTTTTATACAGACCACAACTTCACAAAATCTTATTCAGCTGATTCAAATCCCTAAAATCTCATTTAAATTCACCCCATTGTTTCTAACTATGAAAAATTCAATCTTGCAATTAAAAACCCCATAAAAAAGCAATCTTTCGGGTTCAGGAACCCAACAGAACAAATTTGGAGATGAGGACAAAGATTAGGAGAAAAGAAGCTTTCATTATTACTCAAAATTCCTGCTAAGCAATTATACAGTGGGGTCGACTAATACCAACCACATAACAAACTACCCAGACTCGAAATCAAAGAAAAAAAAAAAAAAAA